CTCTGAAAGAAGACTACCCAAATATATATCTCATAGCTAGCAATCAAAACTCCACAGTGGGTCAAATATGGCACATCAACTCATGGGACCTACAGACAAGGAGAAGCTTACAGAATTGGGAGCTAAATGACTATCTAGAGCTTCAATCTAAGCTAGCAGGGGTCACTATCAAACCTCAGGAGAGAGACAGACTATTATGGATTGGCCAACATGATGGGATATTCACTGTCAAGAAAGGTTATGTACATTTGTGCTCAAACAAGGAGTTGATTGACAACTGGCCATGGAAACTCATCTGGAGAACTAAACTTCCACCTAAAGTAATTGGCTTCACTTGGATAACCTTATATGAAGCATGTCTCACTCAAGATAATCCAAGTCGGAGGAACATCTACATTGTGAATAGGTGCTACATGTGTCAGATGAAGGCAGAGAGTGTGAGGCATCTTTTTCTCCATTGTGCAGTTGCAGCAGATTTGTGGAGTATGTTCTTCTCAATTTTTGGACTAGCCTGGGTCATGCCTAATAGTATTAAAGAGGCCTACGAAAGCTGGTGCTCTTGGAGAGTTGGCAGATCCATCAAAAGAACTTGTCTTTTGGTCCCCGCTTCTATTTTCTGGTGTATATGGACTGAAAGGAATATCAGATGTTTTGATGGGATATCAACTCCAAATCATGCTCTTAAAGCTAAATGTTTATTTAACCTTTTACTTGGCTTAATCAGGCACCTGTATCTAGTTGTGATCATTTTTTGGACTGCGTCTGCTCCTTAGTTTTAACATAGGTTTCTTTTTGTTGTGTTTATGAGCAGACACACTCTATTTACTTGTACTCTCTTTTTCTATGCATCTTCTTGATGCCTTTAATGAACTTCTCTTACTTCATCAAAAAAAAAAAAACATTGTTTATTACAAAGGAAAGTGAATGTCAGTTAATCTAACAGTTCAACAGAACCCACTTAAGAGCAACTAAAATCGGAGCTCACAGAATCAATTCATAGACTACAACGAGAAGAAATTGAATGTGCCCTTCCTTTTGTATCCTTCCACAAAATCAGAGCTCACAAAACCAATTCTTATCTTCTGCTCATTTGCTCTAGGATCCTACCTAATAAAAATGGGTAGCAAAAAAGGTACACAATTTTTCCTGATAGAATAGCCTATACCAACTAATTCAGGATTTTAAGAAAACAATATGGAGCTAGCTGTATAAGTGACTGAGCAGTGAACAGTACCACAATCCGCAGACGAGGTCTTGGTACATCAGGTTGCCTTGGTAGTAGTTCCACAGCATCTGGGGTGCAATGGACACCATCAATGACTGTTCCCTCACTAATGGCTATCAAGTGTCGCTTATGTATTTCACCATCAATAGTTGCAATGTATCTAGAACAAGATCATCTGGTGAGTGATGATCATAACAGAAGGATAAACTGGTTTGCTTATACATGTTTTAAAGCAGATGAAAAAAGATCACCTAATAGCAAAAGACAAGTTCAGTAAACGTCACAAAAACAAAAATTCATCAGTGTACAGATAATTGTGTATTTGTTCCCCCCCCCCCCCCCCAAAAAAA